CTCTGCCCTTGGCACCTGGGTCGGCCCTTGGCACAGAGACCTGCTCAAGCCCCAGGGACCCTGAGGAGCTCTGCTCAGGAGAGGTGGAGGAGCTCACTATCTCCAGCCCAGGAGGGCTCTACCAAGAAGTCAAGTTCAAGTTCAGGTACGTTGTGTGGGCTGGAGGTGGGGTTGCAGCAGAGCTTGGGAGACTCAGCAGCTCCTGAATCTGTCATTGGGGGAAATGTGTTTGAAGGCAGCAGCTCTGGGTGGGAACCTCAGGGGGCATCGGGGTCCTCCCTGCTGTGTCTCACTAGTAGCTGCCCAGGCTTCAGAGGTCCCTGTGGGGGAAAGTCACAGCTTCTTGCTTGGATCTCAGCGAGGACCCAAAGCTCCCAGCTGGGGATGAAGAGGAGTGTTCTCTGGAGGACACAGTGGTAGACGTCCGAGGCTCCCGTACTGTGGGCATCCAGATCACCAACAGGACAGGTGTGACGTTCAAGGATCCCATGTAAGTCCCTTCCTGTCTCCTCCCTGAAGGTCATTCAGGTGTCTGCAGGGCTGGTGTCCCCTGAAGACTCTGCTGGCTTGCAGGTGGCCGTCTTCTGTGTCCTCACAGGGTGGTCCCCCTCTGTGTGCATGCTGATCTCTTCCTCTGAGGACACAGGGCACCCCCACCCTACAGACCTCACTTTAGATGAGTCACGTCTTAAAGCTTCTGTACAGATAAGGTCCCGTTCAGAGGCACCGGGGTTGGACTTCAGCATGCGAATCTGGGGGCTGCCGGGGGTGGTGGTCACAATTCAGTTCACGACAGGACCCACCCAATGGCTCTAGTGTGTGGGTACAAACCAATCAATCACAGACTTCACGAAGAGCATAGGATGGTGGCTGGACTCAGCCGCCCAGTGGCCCTCCCCTCTTTCGGGCAGGTTGTTTACAGGCCACAGCTCCCGTCCCTCCTGGCTGTCCATCTTTCATCTCAGGTCGAGTCTCTGTCCTGCCAGGAGCTGGTCTCACCCCAACCTGAGAGGTCTCCCTGTCACCCGCTCTGCTGTCCCTGGCCTTCCCACCACCCCAGAGTTCTCTCATGTCCTGCTCAGGGCTTGTTCTTGCTTGTGGATCCTCTGTCCTTGTAACTGGGCCTATAGCCCTGGGGGTCAGGCCCCACAGCCCTGCTCATCACGGTGTCCATTCACTCATTCCATAAACATTTATTGGGTGCCTACTGCATACCTGTACGGCAGCAAGCATTTCAGGGGTGGACACTTGACCCAGACATGGGAGCCAAGGATCTGCAGGGTGGGTGTGGAGAGAGGTCCAAGCTGTGAAGACACAGGGCTCAGTGTGTGCTGGGAGTGACACGAGGGTCCTAGGAAAGGGGGTGGTGCTCTGGGAAGGCCCCAGAGGGAGAGCCTGTGGCCTGGGCCTGGATGCTGAGCAGGTAGCCATGGTCCTGGCAGGAGTGACTTTGTTCTGTTTAAGGAACAGGATGAAGGCTGCGTCAGGGAGGGTGTGGGAGAAGCCCTGAGTGACATGGGATTGGAGACATTGACAGAGCTCCATCCTGTGCCCTCTGGCGGGTGCCATGGCGTGTGACGCAGGGGAAGAGTTAGCTGTAGGCCGAGTTCTGCACACGTGTGCTTAGCGTTCATAATGTTGGACAAATCAATGTAGCCGACAGGAGCTTCATGGTAGGTGATGGGGCTGGGGCAATCCAGGTACCTAGTGGACGAGCGTCTCTCCCAAGCCATGAGTCCCTCTCGTGCAGTGCACAACACTGCCTGCAGACACATGGGGCCCCAACTCCTCTCTCCCAGGCTCTGCTGTCGGAGTGGCCAGGCCCACGTGAGACCACCACCTGTGCTTCCCCCGAATTCCACTGTCCACTGCTCCTTCACAAAGAGAGCCTCCAGCTTCCAGGGCACGGCTGGCCTGCTGGCCTACCAGGGCCCAGATGAGCACCTGGCCCTGCTGTTCTCCGTCCCCTTCAGCTACACCCTCCATCGCATCCAGTTTGCCCTGGCCGTGCTCAGGGGGCCACTGGCCCAGGACGGCCTGGAGCAGGTCTTTGATGGCATCATGGAGAAGGAGGCCCCGGATCCCAAGGTGGTGAAGTGCATCCTGCAGACCCCTCAGGGGGCCCTGGAGCTGAAGGATGGCTCCCTGAGCATCAGAGCCACCGTGTCCAATGTTCATGTGGCCAAAATGGATGTGGTGGTGGAGACCAAAGCCACCTAACTCTCCCTTGTCATTTCACCTCGCTGCTGCAGCCCCCGTGGGCGGGTGACCCCAGGGAAGGAGGAATGGGCCCCTGTCATGGGCTAGATCCTCGGGGCCAAGTCAGCTATGAGGACACAGGTGCCTAATAAAGCTTGCTGAGTGACGCTGTGTGACCATGTGGCTCCTGGTCTGCTGTCACAGCACAGCCTCCCTGTCCACCTGGGCTCCCTTCACCCCCGCCATGGGCCCCGTCCCACTTACCACCCGCAAATCCCTTCCCCCACTCTTCTTCAGGTGGACTCTGTCCCCAGCTGTCCCCTCTGCTCCTCTGGCCTCCTCCCTCCTCCCTCCCCTCCTGTCCTCTCCCCCTACTCATCTCTCCCTCAGTGATGAAGCCCAGGACCCTGGTGGGCCCTTCATGCCTGTGCCCCTTATCACACCTGGCACCTGAATCCTGGAGAGGGTGACAGGAGTCTCAAGACCCCAGGCAGCATCTGGCGTGGACCCAATGTTGAGGGACATTACGATTGTTTGTCACACCCTGCCTTTCCTAAAGGGCTCAGGAGTTGAACTGTGTCCTGCCAGAAGGTCCTGATGTCACAACCTCCAGTACTTGGACTGTGACCTTTTGTGGAAATTGGGTCTTTACAGATGTGAGCAAATGGAGGTGAGGTCATAGGGGACCCACCTCCTCCAGGATTGGTGTCTGTATAAAAGGGAGATCTGGACACAAGGGAGACCTGCACACGGGTAGGAGACCAGCTGCCCATGAAGGCAGGGAGCAGGGTGACAGTCCTATGTGCCACAGAACAGCAGGGTTGGACAGGAAGCCACCTGCTGTCCCCATGGAGATCCCTGTAGCAAAGGATCCAGCGGAGGTGTCTGTGCTGGGTTTGCTCATGTCTCCTCAGTCTGCTCCCCGCTGGGGGTTCCTCAGTCTTCCCTTGACTCTCCTGACCTTGACCTCTCTGAAGGTCACAGGCAGTTATTTTGTCAGTCACCCCTCCATCTTGGCTTGCCTGACACCTTCCCATGACGAGATTCAGGAAGATCATGAAAGTGAGGCTGTGTCCTCAAGATGGGCATGATTCTGTCACATTATTGATGACATTTCTTGGGTTATTTGATTAAGATGGCATCTGCCAGATTTTTCCACTCTTCCAGAAAAGGAACTCTTCCTTTTGGAATGAGTTGAGATTTGTGTGTGGGCGCATTGAGCTGGGCAATCAGGCCGTCCACTTCACCCTTCCCTGACCTCCTGTAGACTCTGCTTTCCTGGGTTTTCCTGCATCATTTGTTGCCATCCTCATTGATTTTGATTCTGCAGTTGCCCGGTGTGGCCAAGGAGCTTCCTCCAGCCGTCCTTAGTGTTCTTTTAGCGTGTCCCCGTGATTCCTGAACAATCCCGCTTTATGCTACAAGGGTCTCAGCTCCCCTTGTTCATGTCCTGCCCCAGACACGGCATCAGCCTGTCTCCTGGGAGACGTGGTCCCTCTTATGGGGAACAGTACTGAGAAGTCAAGGTCTGAGGCCCTCATGAAAGTTGGTGTCCCAGCTCCCATGTCCTCTGATTGGGGAGCGCTGGAGAACTGCCTACAGGTCACTACTGTCTTGGCTTTCCTCCACTGACCCGGATACCTGAGGGTGACGACCTAAAGGAGGACAGGTTCATTTTGTCTTTTGGTTTCGGAGCTCTCAGTCCACGGTTGCAGACGGCACTGCTTTGGGCCTGAGGTGAGGCAGCCCATGATGGCGGAAGGGCTGGGGACAAGACCAGTCCTGCTGGGCACATCCCTACTGAGTTCCTTCATCTGACCAGGCCCCATCTTCTAAAATTCCCCCCACTTCCCATAATGCCATCAGCTTATTACCCCATCTGAGGATTAATTCACTGATGCGGGTAAAGCCCTTAGGATCCCATCCCTTCCCTCATCCCTCATCTCAACCTTGCTGCCTTGGGGACCCAGCCTCCAACTCATTCACTCTTATTATCTACTTAAATAGTTATAATATAAAATAGACCTCACATCTAAGTAGAAAATTTACCAATGGACACAGCCTCTTTGTGTGTGCGCGCGCGCGTGTGTGTGTGTGCGTGCGCGCGTGCGCCTATGAGTACTGGCCAAGCCTCCAAGTTCAATACTCGGCCCCTCCTCCTAAAGTCTCCCCCCACAACACCTTCTAACACTGCCACACTGAGGTCTGAGCTCCCAACACTTGAGTTTTTGGAGAAACACTCAGGTCACATCTGAACCCTCGCAGCCTCTGGCCATGCCCACCTTCTATGGGCGCTCGCCCCTCATTCCACTCCCCAGGGGACTCTACCCCCACAGCAGATGTCCCCTACCCTCCCTGTGTGGACCCCTCACCACCCCTGGCCCTGAGCCCACCATGACTTCTCACGCCCTGGCCCCCTCCCTGCTGCCACTGAATTACTCAGGAAGAGCAGGGGGGACCAGAGGAACAGGGGAGAGCCCAGACTGCCCTCTCCACCACTGTTCCCCCTGTCACCAGGCCGTCCCTGCACACGGGCCTGACTTGGTCAGGAGAGCTCTGGGGCCAGACCCTGTCCTCTGCATGTGCCACGGCCCAAAGGACAGGCATAGAGAGTGGGCACAGGCGATGCAGGTGGATACAGTGAATGGACAGGCGCCTGCCCTAATCCCTACTTTCAAATGCTCTCCAGTGCCATCCTGGGCTGAGTCACAGCCTGAGGTGGCCCTGCCCCTGACTCCCTGCAGCCAGATGGGGAGGCAGGCGCAGCCCTGATCCCTCCCAGCCTGGGCGAGGTCCCCCAGCCTTCACAGCTCTGAGACTCAGGCTCGCAGGAGAGGCCCAGACAGGCAGCAGAGCTGGCACAGGACTGAGCAGGAGGCTGGGCTGCCAGGGACAGGCACAGGGCCACCCAGAGGGACAAACTTGAGAGCACGCCTGCCCCATGCAGTTCCCCGTGGGCCCCGCCTGCATCTTCCTGAGGAAGGGCATCGCTGAGAAGCAGCGGGTGAGGCAGGGCGACTGGCAGGGCGGGCAGGGAGGTGTGGGGCAGGGGGAGAAGGGGCAGGTGAGCGGCAGGAACCAGGAAGCTCAGAACACAGGAGGGGGCTCTGGGTTCCCAGGGGCCACGGGATGAAGGGGGACAGTAAACTCAGGAGGGGGCTTTGTGAGGAGAATAAACGGGGGCTGGGATGGTGTCCCTTTCTCTGCTCTGGACACAAGAGGCCAGTGATGGTGACAATGGCAATTTTGGACACTTACCAAGTCCCTGCTGTGTGGCCAGCTCTGTGCAAAGGTCTGCACATTCCTGATGTCATTTAACTCCCAGAACAACTCCGAGGTCCCCGAGACTCACTCCCGTGTTACAGGTGAAGAAACCGAGGTGCTGAGACACGAGTCCTTCGCCATAAGCTCCCAGGGAGGAAGTGGCAGGGCAGGCGGGTCCATTCCTGTGCTTGCGACTGTCAGGAAGGGAAGGAAGGACAGGGCGGACAGAGATGAGACTGCACAGAGGACAGCAAGAGAGACACTGGGGGACGGCCAGGGAGCTAGAGGGTGGAGGCCAGGCTGGTGGAGCCTCTAGGCTCTCTGCAGGTGTCCAGGCCATGTCCAGCAGCGGGTCGGGCAGTGAAGGGCAGACGCTCACAGAGGTGCAGGCACCGGTCCTGCTGGCACTCAGTGGCCCTCCTGAACGCCACTGAGGTCTGGTCTACCCCAAGGGACTCTCCCTCTTGGGAGGAAGGGGAAGCAGGTGGGGACAGCAGTGGGGTGCCCTGGGAAGACTTCTGACCTGGAGTCGGGAGCCCTGGACTCGAGTCCTGGTGCTCGACTCTAGTTGCCACAGGACCTCAAGGGTAACTACCCCTCCCCTGGTCGGGGACCTGCTGTTTCAGAGCTGTGTGACCTTCAGCAGCTTCCTTGACCTCCCTGTTCTTGAGAGTCTTCATGGGTAAGATGGGAATGATACCTGGTCTCCCTCCCAGAGTCGTCCTGAGGTTCAAATGCCAGGAGCCCCAGCAGAGCCAGCCTCTGACACCTGGGCTGGGACAGCAAATCCCACCCTGTCCATCTGGGGAGGCTCGGACTCCACGTACAATGGAATGTGTGTCTGGGAAAGAGCAGATCCAGGTTCAAGTACAGGAAAGAGGAGTGAGAGGGGATGGGGAGGAAGTAGAGCAGAAGCTGAGGAATGGGAGTTGGGGAGGGAGGAGGAGAGGGGAAGGGAACAGGGGCGTGGAGGACGGGCCTGCTTGAGGAGCGCGGGACCCTGACTGTCTCTCCACCTTCCCTCCCTGCATTCCCTCCAGGAGCGACCCCTGGGGCAGGACGAGATCCAAGGTAACATCTGCCCCCCAAATGCCCTCCACGCCCCCAGGGACCTGCTGTCAGCTGTGTCTGTGTCACCTCCTCCCATGCAAACCTCACACCCCTTCCTGTCCCCTCCACTGCACACTGAGACCTCCTCAGGGCAGCTAAGTGCCTGGGAGTCCTTAGTGACATGCCCGGCCCACGTCTCAGAAACCCGGGATGAGAGGAGACGGGAGCCTTAAAATGAGGCCAAAGCTGTGGGTCCTTCTCCTGGGGTTCTGAGGGCTCTCCACCGACCCTGAGGATTGGGGGCTCAGTGAGCAGCTCGGAGCCGTTCCCCCTGCGGGCGCCTTTCCCACTCACTGCTGTTCTGCAGTGCTGGGTTTTATGGTGTATTCCCCTTCGAGTCTCTGTCACTGCCTCAGCAGCAGTTTCAAGGATGCCACTCTTCCTCCCGGCTGTTTCAAGTTCCTCCAAAGTTCTTCTCTCTTCACTTTCAGAGCTCCGGGAAGCATTCCTTGAGTTTGACAAGGACCGAGATGGGTTTATCTCCCATAAGGATTTGGGGAATCTCATGAGGACAATGGGTTACATGCCCACGGAGATGGAATTGACCGAACTGGGCCAGCAAGTCCGCATGAACTGTGAGACCCGGGGGAGGAAGGCAGGGCTGGGCTGGGCGGTGCTCAGGGAGAGACTGGGGAGCAGGGGGAGGGGGAGTCTGTGGGGATACAGGGGGCTACGAGGATTGGGGTGTAGAAAAGCGCAGTCCAGACTGCTCCAGGGAGGCGGCTTTTGAAGTAGTTGGAGGGGCCTTGGGGAGACAGGTCTGGGTGCAAGTCCCAGTTCTCTTATTTGTCAATGAAAGTCACTCTGAAAAGTGAAGTTATCTTGGGTCTCAGGTCCCTGGTCTCTGAGTGAAGGCAGGACACTCCTTACCTCATGGTGCCATGGGAAGGAGGGTGGAGGGACAGGCAGGCCAAGTTGTAGTCCCCACAAATTCTGATTAAGTGTGGTTTATCACTGTCACCACTAAAAGTCTATCCGAGGAGTGTGAGGTTGGAGCCATGCTGGATGTCAGCAATGAGCTTGCACTTGCACCTAATGGTGGTGAACTCGGGGGCCCTCAACCACTGAGCACATCCCCAGCCCTATTTTGTATTTTATTGAGAGACAGGGTCTCACTGAGTTGCTTAGTGCCTCGCTTTTGCTGAGGCTGGCTTTGAGCTCACCCATCCTCCTGCCTCAGCTTCCCGAGTTGAAAAGGATCGATTTTTAAATGGAGACCAGAGGTGACTTTGAGACTGAAACTGAATTGCTACTGGTTTGCTTCTGGGCATGTAACTGAGTTAAGGTGGAATTCAAGGTGATAATGGTGTGCTCAGCCCTCTGTGTATCTGCAGATTCAAGCAAGTGCAGATGGAAAACATTTGGGAAATAATTGTGTATGTACTAAACATGTTCAGGCTATTTTTTTTTCTTGTCATTGTGCCCTGAACAACACAGCATAAACTCAGAGAGCATTTCCACTGTGTCGGGGCCTCTGAGACATGTCCCGCCCACGTCTCAGAAACCTGGGAGTGAGACAGGAGCCAAAGCTGTTGGTCCTTCTCCTGGGGTTCTGAGGACTCTCCACCAACCCTGAGGATCAGGGGCTCTCAGTGAACAGCTCGGAGCTTAGAGATGAGGTACAGCATATGAGAGGTTTGCGTAGGTTACATGCAAATACCTTGACATTTTGGAGATGGGACTTGACCGTCTGCAGATTTTGGTATCCATGGGGGTTCCTGGAACCACTCCCCCAGTGGATGCCAAGGCATGACTGTATTCGTATCTGGAAAAGCCTCAGGTGCACATGTAACTCACACTCCCTCTTTACAGATCCACAGACGAGGGAACAGGGGTCCTGACCATGCTCAAGGTTGTGCAGTCAGTCACGTCCCCATACATGCCTTGTCCACCAGGTTCAGGTTAGAGGGACACAGGGCTTGAGCTGAGTGAGTGAAAGATAAGGGGGGTTCACCCAGCCACAAAGAAGAATGAGACTCAAGCATCTGCTGGTAAATGGATGAACTGGGGAACACCGCGCTCAGTGACATAAGCCAGACTCGGAAGGCCAGGGGAGAACGTGTTCTCTCACAGGGGAATGTGTGGGGAGGGGATCCCATGAAACAGAGGGGACATCAGTGGGGTAGGGGGTTGAGGGAGGGAAGAGGGACAGGAACAGGGAAGAACCGAGGAATGAAATGACCAGATGATGCGTATGTGCACATCCCACTCTGAGCTCCACCTTTATGTGCACCCATAGAGCACCCACCTAAAAGTCAATAAGCAGAAGGATCCAGGAGAGGAAGGGACCCGGAGGAGGAAGGAGGGGAGGTAGAGAGGAAGCACTGGGGACCGAAAAGGAGCAAACTACAGTCCAGGCATGAGCATGTCGAAACTAACCCGCTAGTGTGTGAGGCTGCCATGCACTAATAAAAGTGCAGAACAGGAAACCCGTGCATGGCGGGGACCTGGGAGCCGCTCTCTTTCTGGAACTGACTGGAAGGGAGAAGAGAGGGATTGGAAGGTCAGGGTGTGGAGTCCCACTAACCCCTCCCTTTCTGCCTCAGTGGGGGGCCGTGTGGACTTTGATGACTTCGTGGAGCTGATGACCCCCAAGTTGCTTGCAGAAACGGCTGGGATGATTGGTGTCCAGGAGATGCGAGACGCCTTCAAGGAGGTCAGTGAAGGGGTCCATGGTGCTGGGGGTGGTCTAGGGACTGTTCACGTCAGCACCATGGACAGAGCCCACCAGAGGGCCACCCCCTGCCCTCCTCGTTTTGGCCCAGCCCTAGTGGGATGGATAGGGAAGGGGATGACACTTGACATGGGCCAGGGCCTCCTGCTCGCTAGGCCTCCACCATGAGCTGCCCCCCAGCCCTTCACTTTTTCTTTAATGTAGCTACTAGGAAACTTAGAATCCCTGAGAGGCTCCTGATGCACTTCCCCCTGGACAGAACTGCTCCAGGAAAGTCCCATCCCAGGAGAGGACACTACACACACCAGGAGGCAGGACGCTGTGTCTGAGGAAGGGTGACAAAGGGTGACAGGGAGCTGGAAAGAACATAGCAGGGGACGGATGTGGTGGAGACCTCAGAGTTGTGGAGGGCAGGGCCCATCCACATGTCATGGACTGGACAGGAAGCCACCAGGGGGAGTGACAGGATCTGACTTGTCCCCTATGTGACTGTGAACACGGAGCCTGACATGCAGAGGGGAGACCCTGGCAGGAGCAAGACGGCAGCCAGGGACCCCTGCAGGCTGCCTGGGGAGTGCAGGCCAGAGGGGCCGTGGTTGGAGCCAGGTCAGCCGAGCTGAGGACCATCCCTGGCCCCTCTGTGTGCGCTGAGGAGAGGGCATAGCAGGCTTTCTGGGAGGTGGTTAAGGAGCAGGGAGAAGTTCTGGAGGTCTCTGATTAATTGGGAAACATGTATCAAGGGCCTGGCCTGTGAAAATGCTTGTCCTTGTGTGCCTGGACTATTTCACCAGCATGACGTCCTCTGGGTTCATCCACGATACTGCATTTCAGGATTTCCTTCTTAAGGCAGAACCACATTCCACCGTAGGTCTGCAGCACACAGGAGAGGTGCACAGGAGTCCATGTACAGAAGGCCTCCAAAAAAACTCATAGGCACAGACTGAAGCAAGCTGGCTGCCAGGACCTGGGCAGAGGGGCAGGTGGGCTGTCCTTTCATGGGTCTCAAAGTTTCAGTTATGGAGATGACTGAGTTCCACTCACCTACAGACTAACAGTCTGTATTGGGCATCAAAAACTTAAAAGAGCTGATCTCATGTTCCGCATCCAACAAACAGAAACCTAAGGGGACAGGGAATGTCTTGGAGGCAAGGTGACACATACTGTGCTGATTAATGTGGTTTCATGAGGGCATGCCTCTGTCCAACTCATCAGAGGGCACGGGTTAAGCCTGCTTAGCTATCTGCACATCAATTATATCCCAATAATGCTGTCTAAACAGAGGGAGAGATGTGTGCAAACCTGGGAGGAACCCTTGACCTCCAGGTGCTGATATTCTCCAGTAAGATGTGCCTGAAGCCCTTGGCCTGGCTCTAGTGAACCATGGACACTGTCACCCTGTCACCGTTGCTCTCAAGGTCGGTGCTGCTCAGCCAGCCCCCTCTGCTTCTGTTCATCAGTTCGACACCAATGGAGACGGGGAGATCACACTGGCGGAGCTGCAGCAGGCCATGCAGAGGCTTCTGGGAGAGAGGCTCACTCCCCGGGAGATCTCCGAGGTTGTCCACGAGGCCGATGTCAATGGAGATGGCACCGTTGACTTTGAAGGTGATGTACAGGGGTGGGCTCGGCAGGGATCCGTTTCCCACTCCCCGTGTGGCCTTCCTGGACAGGTGGAGGGCGAGGGTGGGAAGCAGATCTGCAGGCCAACCCCAGGCCAGAGGACGGGGGACCTCAAAGCAGGGCGGGGCTGGCAAGTTCTGGTGTAGAGTCACAGCGAGGTCGGGTACAAAGGGTGTCCTGTCCAGGGTTCACCAGTCACTGTCCAGCTGACTCAGGCTCAGGGGCTACCTTCACGGCCCAGACTCCTGACCTGTGAAGAGGAATCCCCCTGAGACGGTGGAGAGGGTGACATCAGACCCTAACAATGGCCATTGATGGAACACTGTGTCCCACAAGCCTTGTGTCATTTAACCATCTTAAAAACACAGGGGAAAGAGTGAGCCTACGACTCCCGACTGCCGTCTTAGAGATGAAAACACGGAGCATAGAGGGTTAGGTAATTTCTCCAAGGTCAACATAGGAAGTACTCAAAAAACTACCGTGGTTTTTATAATGAGGCACCTCACCGGGGCTTCTTTTTGCAGAGTTTGTGAAGATGATGTCTCGCTGAGGATGTCCTGGGGGCCCAGATGCTCCCCACCTGGTCAACATGGATCCCTTGCTTGCTGAGGACCCAATCCCCATGACCCCTTGAAGGATGGAGTGGGGGGAAGGAGGGTAATCAATGGCTTTGCAGCTGCATGGATTGAGGTTAGACTGAAGGCAGCAGCTTTGCCAGATGGGGATGGAGTGGGGTGCCTAAGGAATGAGATTCAGGAGGTGTGGAAATGGGAGTGGGACTAAGATCCAGTTGCCATTCCAGAAATTCCAGAGGTTAATGACATCTTTTTCTTACACATAGTCCTAAACCCCTGCGACCTGCCAAAATCTCTTCCCCAGCTAACAGTCTTCTCTCCTGATAGATTGTCACAAAGTCCCACCCCGTCCACCCTCCCCTCCCTCCCACCCTTCCGATTTCAATCCCAGACACCCTGGTTCTGTGAGAGGGAGACGCGCCAACCCCATCACGGGGCTAGAAACTGCTCCTAGATGAGGCTGGGCGTGGGCGCCACCCGTGAGGAGCCATGGGGGGTGAATTCCTGATTTCCTGGAAGCCCAGCCTGTGTTTTCCCCTCTGATCGCCCGCGTCCCTCTCCTGGTGTAAGATACTCAGGGGAACTGAATTAAATCACAAATCGGGATTATCGGGTTTAGGCAAGCTGATCCCTGGGGAATTAATCCCCCACCAAATATCGAGAGAGAGAGAGAGAGGATCCCAGAAATCCCCAGCTCATCAGGTGACTGCAAAGCCATCCCTGGAAGCCCCCTGCCTCCACGCCGTTTGGCCCAGGCTGCTTCCGGAGAATCTCCCTGGTGGGTGGGTGTTGTGCTCCGTCCTGCAAACCCAACATCCATCTGTCTGTGACACTGAGAATGTGGTTCCTTCACCTCCCCCGGGGACAGCACGCCTCAGCAGCACAGAGGTCCTCAAAATAAAATGTCACCTCCAGGATTTTCTCTCTTTGTGGTCTGTTGAGCAGATGCATAGAATGGGCTGTTCACAGGCCTCCACTGGCCCCATTAAGGAGAAAGCAGAGGCGGGTGCTGCTCCCTGCCCCTTACCTGTGCCCTGCTCACCCTCCTGGGCCACGTGACTGTGAAGCCTTCACCTCTCACCGTCCTTCCCCTGCCCACCCTCCTCCTTTCCTTCCCCCTGTCCTTCACTTGGACAGCAGTGTCGTCAGTGCTTGCTGTGTGCAGGCTGCCCGGCCAGGCTGGTGGCTAGAGCCGTCGATAAACCAGACACATTGCCACCCCCCAGAGCTCGCCTCATGATGGGAGGAAATGGCCACGCAGAGGAGCTGTGTCCCTTCCCAGAGGGACACCATTTTCTTTGGGGACCTTGAGGCATTCGCTGAGCATAAGGGACATGTCTGAGGGAAGAGTGTTGAAGACAGAGCGTGTGGCACAGGCAAAGGCCCGAGGTGGGAACACACTGGAGTGTCGAGGAACAGCAAGGAGATGAGGGTGACCGCAGGGGTGGGCAGGAAGGGGTCGGAGTGTCAGGGTTAAGTCATGCAAGGGTGGCCCTGGAGACCGCTGTAAGGATCTGGAGTGACAGGACCCTGCTCACCTCCTTCCTCAGCTCCTCCGACTTCCATTGATACATCCACTCACCTTTCGCCTGTTCTAGAAAGGTTTGCTGAGTCCCTCTGTGGCCACATTGTCCCTGGTGATAGGATCGGAACAATGACAGGGCTTTGACCCCAGGGGCTTATACCCTAGAGGTGTGCAGTGCAACAGGGGCTTCTGCCATGATGGCCATGCTCCAGACCTGCCCCGTCCGTCATGGTGGCCACTAGCCATGTGTGGACACTGAGGATTAAGTGTGGGGCATGAGACTGAAGAACTGAGTTTCATTTCAGATTTATTTTATTAAGTAAATGCAATTTCATTAATAAATAATTGACCTTATTAATTTTAATCTAAGTAGCCCCCGTGGCTAGTGGCTAGTCACTGGACGGCTCAGATTCACGCAGTTAGCCAGCATTATTCTTAGGTCCCGGAAAGACCCAAGGACAAGAGCTTTGCTTTCTTGGGGAGTGACATTCCAGTTTGTGGGGAAAAGAAAAAATTAAATCACTTAAGAGAAGCTCGTGCCCGGATGAACCCTTCCAGGAAGATGGGGGGATCAGATATAAGGAGAGTTTGGGGAAGGGAAAGAGTGGCTCAGCATGGCCAGAAGGTCACGTCTTGGAGACGAGGTGTTTCTAGATGGTTTCCGGGGCTCTCTCTCTCTGACTGAGGGTGGGTCAGCTGAAGCTCCCTTAGGGGTCTCCTGGGGATCAGTACTGGGAAGGGAAGGGCAGGTGCTCGGGGTGGACAGCTGAGCTTCCTGCAGGTCCTCAGCTCGGGGGAGCCACGGGAGCTCTGGACACAGCTCTGCCACGTCTTCACCCCTGGCCTCAGCCAGGCTATGGACTGCCCAGGGAACGGCATGTCCCTGGATGCGGGGGGTCACTTAGAAGCTCAGGACACCTGATTTGAACTGACATCAAGTCTGCACTCCCCGGGGCTGGGCAGAGGTCCTCTCTTAAGAGGGACATGGTCCACCCACCTCCTTCCCCATCACAGAGAGGTTGAAACCAGGACTGGAGGCAGCAGGGCGGGGGCTGCAGAAAACCAGGGCAGAGCAGTCCAGCACGTGCAAAGGTCCAGAGGCCGGGTGAGTTTGGTGTGTCCAGGAACAGAGGCAGGAAGGAGGGAGGGAAGGACTTAAGGGAGGGCCGTGTGGAACCAGGAACAGGAGAAGAGCGCTTACTAAGGTATTCCTTGTGTGGTTGGTGAAGACTTGCCCTCTGCTTGCTCTTGAGCTAAAGAGAAACAGATCTACCCTTCAATCTGCAGGCTTCTTGTGTGTCCATGCAAAACCACTGTTATCTGAAATCAAATCCATAGAAAAGGGACTGAACAGCAAAAATCTATCTCTGATGCCCAGGTACAGAGGGGGGTAGTGGCAGCAGTTGCTCAGGGTACTCTGTTTAGAAGGCCGGGAAGAAAGAAGGAGAGGAAGGAGAAAGAGAAGAACAAAAATATCCATTTGCTTCTGGGCCTAGAGGGATTCATCTGGATTCTGCAATCTATTTTTTTTTAATTTATTTTTTAGTTGTAGTTGGACATAATACGTTCATTTTATTTATTTATATGTGGTGCTAAGGAGCCAACCCAGGCCCTCACACATGCTAGGCAAGCGCTGTAAGGGACCGGCGAAACGTCAGAGGAAGAGACCACAAGAGACTGGCTTCATGCAATAAGCAGACAGGGATTTTTATTGAGGATCCAATTCAGCGCGCTGAGGCTCTAGGCTCACTCAGGAAGGGAAAACAGCCCAGAGCCCAGAGCCGGGGTTGAACAATGCTTAAGTACACTTTTTTGGGGGAGGGCAGGGACTTTACATACATCACAGTCTCCTTTAACAAATCACCATACACCGCGGGAAAGTTAAACAACAATTCTTAGACTTGATTAGTACATACATTGGTGGGAACAGGGCTGGCTGGAGTGATAGGTCATTCTTAAGGTGGGGGTTACATTTAAACTGATTGGTTTAGGCCCTGAGGTGTGTACGTGCTGGACTGCACAGGATCTTAGGCCATAAATCAACTAAATGGCCAGTAGGGCATTGTCTTAACTGCCTCGGGAATTTAACCCATGCTTTGCAGTTTGAAGCAGGTTTACAATGCCCGGCCCTTTACATTTTAACTCAGGCTTTGCAGCTTAGAAACTTTACCCTTTCATTGCTCTACCGCTGATCCACAACCCCAGCCCTGCAATCAATTATTGATGTCTGCCATGGGCATGGGGAAGGAATATTAGAGGCATCTGCAATGAAATTCCTTCCCTATGAGACTGAGTCATAGTCGGGTAGGGAGGGGGAGCACGGGAGGAATAGAGGAACAGGGCAGAGGGGTGGGAGGGGAAACGAGGGGGTAGGGGTTAGAAATGATGGTGGAATGTGGTGAACATCATTATCCAAAGCACATGTATGAAGACACAAATTGGTGTGAATATACTTTAATACAAGCAGAGATATGAAAAAATGTGCTCTATATGTGTGATATAAATTGCAATGCATTCCGCTGTCATTCATATATATACATGTAAATCAATAAGAAAAAATTCCTTCCCTTTGTTTAATAACTTATTTATTAATTATTTAATAAGTGCCTACAGATGCTCTGCCTAAATCTGTGATTTCTCAGAAAGGGGGAGAAGGCCACAGGTACTTTTAAGGGTCCCTGGACAGAGGATCTGATTCCCCCACCAACCTCACCATCAACTTTTCCTTCCATCAAATTCTCTCCTTGAGAAATCAGGAAAGGGAGTCCCCAGGGAGATTCAGGCCCCCTTGTGGGTGGGCTAGGCCACATTTTTCCTCTGTTCTTCGTGAGGAGCATGTGATTTAGCAGGATAATGAAGAGGCTGTTGCTAAGGGTGATTATCTAGGTTTGAAACATGCAGTGGGGAAAAAATGAAGCAGGTTCCAGCTCAGTGTGGAGTCTGCTTCTGCAGATGCTTTTCGTCTGCTTAAAAATGAAATCAAAGCTTTCCTTTTAATTAATTAATTAATTAATTTATTTATTTTTGTGGTGATGCTGGGGATTTAACCCAGGGTCTTGTGCATGCAAGACAAGCACTCTACCAACTGAGCTATATGGAGTTGTGGCTCAGTGGTAGAGTACTCCCCTGGCATGCCCAAGGCACTGGGTTTGACTCTCAGCACTACATAAAAATAAAGATACTGTCTCCACTAAAACTAAACATAAATATTTCCAAAAAATGGAATCAAAGGACCAAGTTCAAGGGATAAGTATGCATTTCAGAAGTAGGTCATCAATAAAAAATGACTTTGCACTGATGTTTTTAAGGGGTGGGGTTACCAGGGATGGAATCCAGGGTGGTTAACCACTGAGCCATATCCCCAACACTTTTTTATATTTTGAGACAGGGTCTCACTGAATTGTTTAGGGCCCTGCTGAGTGGCTGACGCTGGCTTTGAACTCAAGGTCC